TTTTTTTTTTTTTTTTTTCATATGTAATGCAATAGCCATTCCAGTCCAATGAAAGATTATATTTCGTATCATCAAGTCAATTCCAGGAAAAACACGAGAACAAAATTTAATCTCACAAAGAATATTTTTTTTTTTTCAAGGAACCACTCAACTGTTTATACTTTACAGGCTGCATAAACGAGGCCAATTATTATTTTACATTTACGGAACCCCAGGGAGAGCCAAAAATCGAAAACGTCTATATGTATATAAAACTAGGAATAGACAGACCACAAAAAAATTGCTGATTCACTCACAATAAGGATGAGGTAACAAGAACGGTATGAACAGGTCCCTATGGCCGTAATCTCCATCCACGCTCAGCAATTGCTTTATGCACTCGGCTTGCTGCCTCTGCGGTGTCATTCAATGGGGGATAACTCCAGCTTTCTGACATCTGAAATCATGAGAAAAACTCAATTGCATGAATAACGGATAGAATAAAATCCTGTACTCGAAGCAGATTAATGCACAATAGGAAAAAGCCGCAAAACACAAAATCCTATTATTCTCTACAGTTGCTGATCATTTAATTGCTATCTATATGGGGCCATATTATGCCAACCTACGTTCACCTTCTAAAACTATTCATTCTGATGAAGAGGTGGATCGAACAAAACTACAAATATTTTAATTAGTAACATCAAACCAAGTGAATAACGCAAAATCTGACATTTGATCCGCCTCTAGTTATGATGATATTTTGGACCCTATCAGTAATTCCTTCCCCAAGTTATGATGTTATTTTAGATACAAATTAGTAGCCCACCCCCAAATATGATTTTTTAATATAATCGATTTGAAAATTATAGGTTGGTTACAAGGAAATATCAATTGTTACACCCCAAGTATTGCAACATATGTGGACTTAAATAATATCAATGTGCGTGTGAAAAAGATGGGCAAGAAGAATCAGAAGAAAATTTGAACTCAATTGATTCCCTTCTTTAATTTTTTTTTTCTTTCCCCTTTACGTTTATTTCACCTGTTGGACTAACAAAGCTAATCTTCACCTTTCTTATCACCATATTTGTTGTTACCATACCATTATACCAAAGGACCATGCATAACTTTAACCTACAATTTAAACAAAAGCTAGAGAAGATCACAAGACTATTATTAACCATATTTTTCAATTTCGTGATCCTCAAATACAAAGGAAACCTCATTTTTGGATTTTTCTTTTTCGGGGATAGGAGGCATTAAGCAACAGATATCATAACAATTTTTTTCCTCAATATGGAAATCAAGGAAACCAACTTAAAAATATATCCTGTTACATTTATCAAAACCTTTCTCAATGCTTTAATAGCACAACAGAGTTCTTTAAGACAACTTAATTTTGAAAAAGTAGGTTGCTCCAAACTTCATAATCAGTAGAAATCAATCACTCCAGAATATTGATTCATGGGAAGAGAAAAAGAATCACTTACATCCTCAAGACCTGTAAATGGTCGAACCAGGCCCCTTTCTCTCAGCTTCTTATGGAACTCCACGAGCTTCCATGAACAGCGTTCAGCTCCAATCACATAAACAGGTTTCCTGTGATAACCAAAGAGTTGATCATATATTTGGCATGCCTGTTCTATATAAAGGAAAATTCATCGATGGCTATTAATGTATTGTACTCGAGCATACCCGGTGCTGCAAACTTCACTCAACATACTAACTGACTCGGCAGTAACTATAAAAGCGTCAGCCCAAGCCAGATGTCCCATGTGTGGATTAGGTTCTGATACCAACAGTACAACATCCTCATTAGTTGATTCTCCCAATTCATTCATAAATCATCTGTCACATTGAGGGATTATAACTGAAATTACCTTCACCATCCCATATGTATATTTTCGGATGAGTTCCAAGTTCTTTTACTATAATGTTGGAGACCTGTCAATTTTTATTTTTTTGAAAGGTATACTGTCAATTAAAAGCCCAATAAACATAAAACGGTACCTATGATACAGGGACACGCTGACACTCGATTTTTCAAAAAAGTATTGACACGACACGTTTATTAATTTTTTTAAAATTCTTCATCCATATAGTAAAAATTTAATTTTATACTAATTATTAACTTTTTTGTTGAAATCTTTTAAATATGAATACATATTTGTTATTTAACAATAATTTTAAGGACCATGATAGAGTATTCGAGAAGTGTAGGTATCCGACACGTGTCAGACATGGACACGCCACCATAATTGAAGTATCCGTGCAATAGAGAAAAATAATATACTGAAAAACAAAAGGGTTGGTGAAATTATAGTTAGAATAATAAATTTGAAGAACACTGCTGATTATTCTCACACCTTTTCAGGTGTCCTTCTTGAGAAAGATATCCTCACACTTCCACAGCTTGCGAGTACATTATGAAGTGAGGTTGTCAACTGCTTCGCAAGGTCCATGCTATATTTGCAGTACCCTATCAAAATTATAGGAATATACCATTATGCGGTATTGAGGCAACTATTTCTCAATTGGAAAGACAATTAGAAACAGAAATAGTTAAGGACTAAATTTGAAAAAGAGAGTGGAAGTTAAAAATCACAAACGAGCACAACGATTTCAGAACTTCATGAACTGAAAGTAAAATGGCAGGGTTTCAACACCCTGTACTCTTTGTTCAAGAAGGTATGCAGATAGCCAAAAGCCATATGTGATGGTTAATCACAAACCCACAGGCCAATGGTGGTGAATCAAGCCAAAAAAAAATATCAAACGGAACACAATTTCGATTGGTCCAATGGAATCTGTTCACTGGAATTATGTTATAACTGAAGTTGCAATATCTATGAATATAATGATGTCCATGTTGTGTCGAATGACATGAACAAAATAAACAAATGTATTGTTCCTCGAAATCTACGTGAAATAAGTCTGGTGGGGGTAAATGTGAAAGATTGCAGATGCTTTTCAGATATTATAAAAGCGCAAGGGTCACATCTTGCCATTAATCCTAAACATCAAAGAAATTATCAAGGTAATACAGATTTCCACTCTCAAGTGACAAATCAGTAATTATTACACCATTAAAAGCCTCGTTAAACATTTTCCAGTTCGAGATATTTATGATCCAACTAGAATATTAGCACAATTTAAACTAGAGCAGAAAACATATGCCAGTGAAGAGTAGAGAATATTTATACTACACAGGCGGAAGAACAACAAACAAAAATGACAAGAATCCAACACCAGGATAGAGAAAGAACGGTTACTTGTAGGCCCTCCAATGTTGACTACAAGTAATGGTTTTGGTAAGGGTGCAAACTCATCATGCCATGCATTAGCTGCGCTACGAAGGGCTGCAGAATCTACTTGATGAAGAGCTCCTACTGTGAGAACCTGAGGAATGTACGGTGATGATATGAAGCTCTATAGATTAAGAATTTAGCGAACAGAAGCTTGGTAGTAAAAGCTGAATTGACGAGAAAATATATCATCTGGATACATACAACATGCCCATCAGGAGGTTCACGAGGTGTTATATATCTCCTGAGAAACCGAGGAACCTGTTCCTGTGCATGAGGTGTCAAAGGGTAGTAATCATGCTTTGGGGCAATCACCATATCAAACCTATCCAAATCGGACCTCGGATGCTGAATCTGAAAAAGAAACAAGGGATAAATTGTCAAAAATCCCATTTCCCTACAAAAGGTCAAGCCCAGAAACAGCATATGACACTCAATGATATAAAGGTACATCAATCGAACCAAGGAATCTTTTAATACAGAAGGAAAACAAGTTTAGAAATAAAAATCAAGAATACATGAAATCTTCCAGTCGAAAACACCTAAAGATAAGAGAACATCCTAAAACTCCTTATATGTAGAAGACTAGAAGCCAAGTAAAAATGCAAAAACTCGGTCTCTTCCATAGATTGCCAAGTGGTACTTCTTTGACTTCTGCAGTTACATTCTATCTGAACTGTCCTTTCCTTGCATATAATGCTATAAGTAGTTAAGAAGTAGACATTTTAAGGATCTTGGCAGTCAATAGTCAAATGAAATACTGTAACCGAAACGAATTGCCCAACTTGAAAGTTGAAACCGACAAGAACAGAGGAGAGCAGGAATTCATGACTACTAACAAAAAATATTCTTATCAGATTTTGCCCAATGTATTGAATGTCTAAAGTATCCAGTGTTAATAAGTCACGGCGATAAATCCAAATGGCTGGATGAGAGAGGAAGATAGCAAGAATGACAGAAATACATTGTCTGGCTGCATCATCACTCTCACAAGACCTTTTAACTATAAAGAAAAAAGTAAAATAAGGTTCTTGCTGATGTTGGAATACTAATGGTACAACACCAGAGCTTCCTCTTGTAACCATCTTATTGCTACCATTAACGGCCAGATTTATGTTTTCACTGCGTAATGAGATCAAATGATATGCATGACTTGCATATATTGGGTTGAGTGATAAACCTGTACGACGAACACATTTTCAGATGCTAATCTTTTTATAGAGCTTGCAATTGAAATAGTATCTCTTCCAGATGCAACCACCAGTAATGGACCATCCCTGAACAGTGGTTAAAATGTCCATTTTTATAGATCAGAGTAAGACATGACACATACAAATTTACTTCCATGTAAATATATCACCACTTAAGACTGAAGCACAAATTCATTTGCCAACATAAACATATACACATTCAGATCCATTTTGGTAACCAGATATATTTCGACTTCAATTGTTGATAAGGTCTAGTAAACCTTGAAAACAAAAAGGAATGAATAAGTTTTTTCACAGATAGCCTGAAATAGGTCTTTGCATTCTTGATAGTTTTATATAACATAGACATAGCTCTGCCCCCATGTGCTTTTGAAATGTTTGAATCTTTGGAAGTTTCTATCAAACTTATTTTTTAGTTGTAATTACTTAAGTATGTTCATATTGCAATATATCCAGACTTTTCTTTAAATTTCAAATGTTGCAATGTGACAAAGTGCTCAACTGTTAAATATTTTACTGATTATATTCAGGAGGAAAAAATCAGATTCATAGATCACAAATCTTGATATATTGAAAGCCAGAAGGGTTATAAAGCAACATGAGATAACTTCTTTGTCATGTCTACACAATTTTGACAAATAATAAATAGGGAGGATATTCTTGATACAGACCTTCAACCATATTTATCTTGATAAATATTGGATTGATATTATGTTTGCAAAACTAGGAAGAATTTAAATGCAAACTTGCACCATTGTCATGTACTCTCGATGTACAGGAGGCAAACCATCATAATCAAAAGTAAACTATTTACTTTCATAATTCTTTAAAGTAGTAGTGTCGTAACATTCATATTTCACATATATGCAAGGGAAAATTCTATATTTGAGATAGGTATTTTTCTCATGTTCAGAAAATTTTGGAAAACATTAGAGATTGATACAGATCATACGCATGTAAACTTTAGTCGGTCGTTTATCTTGATAATTCAAATATTGGGTCCTTCTATTATTTTTGCAAATTTATGAAGAGTCTGATTGCAAACATGTCCATGTCATGTACTCGAGTGTACAGGAGGCAAACCACTCTCAGTCTATCATCAACAGTTAACTAGTTCATTCATCGTTCTGGAAGTAGTAACAACATAATGTTCCTACCTCTCTCATATAAAAAGGATAGTTCTACATAAGAGATGCCTTGTTAGTCAATTCTGTCCAGAAATTTAGAGTGTAACAGAGTTAAGAGAAAAGACTTACTTCTCAGAAGTTTCTTTAGCCATCCTTACAATATTTTTGACATCAGCTTCCAATACAGATGACAGACCTGTAGAATGACCATTCTCCATAGGCAAATGCACCAGATTCTTTCCCCTTCTAGCTATCAGAAATCGGGAATAACTATAAATCTGGCTAATAATGTAATAAATTTTTTTGTGGACAAAAACAGGAAGCCAGTGTAGCCATTCATTGATTCCTCCTCTTGGCCTCGTAACCCGCTGTTATGACCAGATAAAAGACATGACACAATCAGAGTGAGATAACTCAATTAACATCATAAGTATACAACATCTGACAGCTTAAGATGGAACTATCAATATTGCTAGCAAACAAAAAACTCGTCTTTAATGTACAATTCAAACTGAATTTTCAAACAGAAACTCGTCTGATTGGCTCATAGAAATCACACCGCGTATATAGGGAAGTTGTTGAGAGTGATAGATAGAAATTAGGGTGGACCTTTGCAAGAAAATGACAATTATAAAACAATTTATGCATGTCAAAGAACATGAACTCAATGCATCCAAACTCTAATAACTGCTTCTAGAAACGTCTAAGTAAAAAATAAAAATCCTGTTATAATTCAACTCTACCCAAGATAGTGGTGAGTACAAGCAAAACCAGCACACAGTGTAAGCAACAAAAGATTCAAAGAAAACTTCAGGATGCTTACACCAAGAGAAAATATTCTCTTGACACAAGAATGCTTCTTCTTCACTGACTTTTTGTTATGTAACCACAAGCAAAAAGTTAAAGAAAAATATAATTTATTTCAAACCTCCCATTCCCCGTCCTTCCCAACTACATCTCTCTCATGCACAAGCACAGTACATTGTTAATCTTCTTCAGCACAGCAACAACATAGAAATCCTTACAATTGCTCCTTAGCAACCATATAGGAAGGTGATTTCAACTTTCTTTGATTTTCTTCTCATTTTCCCATAAATGAATGCACTTCCCTAAATAAAAGTTCTCATATATAGCTTCCAGGAAACTATAAGTGCTTTGAGATCACTGGGAAACAGCTCCAAATCCATTCTGAATAAGGCACACTGTTCTACAGTTACTGCAATGCTACTAAAGAACGGCATGTCTTTTAATTCTTTTGGAGGCCTTAAAACACAAATTTAGCTCAATTCTAATCCTTTATCAGCAATCCAGCAAATTGTCGGATAAATTTCCATTCTTAATCTCCATATCCATGCAGAAAAACAGTTAACATCAACACGAAACAGAAAAATATATGAATACTATCCCCAAAAACATTCCAACTGAATATGCAAAATAAAATCATCCATAAAACCAACACATCATAAATCCAGTTCAAACTCTTCAAATTTTCCACTGCATATGAACCAATTAACCAAACCCACGACAAATAAAACATGAAAAGAACCACTGCTTATTAAACAAACCATACAACAAAAATAATATAAAAAAGAGAATTTAGATTCAATACTTACATAAAGAGTTTTCTTTTCCGACAGACCTAGGGCGCGTACCAAGCCGATGCTCTGGTTTTCTGAAGCCGGGAAGCCATTACCAATGATGACGGCTCGCCGGATAACGCCATAAACCCCGCCCTCAAATATATCAGGTATTCCACCCATTGATGGCGGACTCCCCGGTGGCTCTGGAAGCCTTATGGGCTTCATCAATATATATGAGAAATGGATACACAAAATTGTTTGTATGTTTAGTAGTGGAAATTCAACTAAAACCCTAGAATTGATTTTCAATTGGGATTTAATCGAAATAATTTACGTATACGTAATTATGTATGTATGGCTGGACAAGTTGAGATTTTTATGAGATGGTGCGCTGCCTTGAACAAGCGCTAGTGGGTTGAAGTTGAACTCTGTCTCCTCTCTCTCGGGCGTAATGGGTGGCGATACCAGGCGAAGGGGCATCTGCATAAATAAAAAGACGTTTTCTTATTTTAATATTATTTCAATTTTTAATCACTAGATCCTATTTAGTACACATTATTTTTTTCATTCTTATTTTTCTACTTATTTTTAATCACACATTTTTTAATAAAATAATATTTTACATCACATCAATAACTTTTCATTTATTTTTAACCACATATTCTCCATCAATCTACTATTCAATAATACATTCTTTCAAAAGAATGTATCACGAACACACTAAAAAATGCGGGCTACTACACATTGATCAGAGTTTACCTAGTGTGCACTCATAGTGATTAGGCCTCCGCCTCTTCGGGGTGGACGGGGCTCCGCTGACGAGTTTCTACGACAACAAAAAAAATAAAATTGTGTAAGCTTAAGAGTTTTATTTTTATTCAATCTTGGGACACATATTTTTTAATTGGCATTCTATTTTACATTGTATTATGTAACACATAATTTTATTATTGATTTATTTAACACTTAAAACAATTAATAATCTCGATTACGTGATTTATGTCACATATTCAATGTCATCCAAGTTGTACACAAATAGCGGTGGGCATGGTCCAGTTCGGTTCGGAACCGAACCAAACTTGAAATTTTCGGGTATTTAGTAAATGAAATCGTCTTGTCTAAATTTAATTATAGAACTGTTCGGGTTCGGCTCTATTCGGTTCCGAGATTCTGTACAATAATTAATTTTTTTATGTTACGACAACGCTATATTAATTGAACTACGACATATTCAGACCCTGTTTGACATCAATTCTCATTCTCATTTTTTTTCTCTTTTTTCATTTCAACCACACATTCTCCAAATAAAATAATATTACACAAAAATCTAAAACTTTTCATTACTTTTCAACCACACATTCTTTCATCAATTACTATTCCAGAATTCATTTTTTATCTTCTACTCATTTTCAACCACACATTCTTCAATAAAATAATATTTTCCATCACATCAATAACTTTTCCTTCATTTTTAACCACACATTCTCCATCAATCTACTATTCAATAATACATTCTTTCAAAAGAATGTGTCACAAACACACTAAAAAATGCGAGCTACTACCCATTGAGCGCAGTTTACCTAGTGTGCACTTACAGTGGTTAGGCCTCCGCTTCTTCTGGGTGGTCGGGGCTCCGCTGACGAGTTTCTACAACAACAAAAAAAAAAAAAAAATTGTGTAAACTTAAGAGTTTTATTTTTATTCAATCTTGCGACACATATATTTCAATTGGCATTCTATTTTACATTGTATTATGTAACACATAATTTTATTATTGATTTATTTAACACTTAAAACAATCAATAATCTCGATTATGTCACATATTCAAATGTCATCAAAGTTGTACACAAATAGCGGTGGGCATGGTCCGGTTCAGTTCCGAACCGAACCAAACTTGAAATTTTCGGGTATTTAGTAAATAAAATAGTCTAGTCTAAATTTAATTATAGAACTGTTCGGGTTCGACTCTATTCGGTTCCGGGATTCCGTACAGTAATTAATTTTTTTTATATTACAACAACGCTATATTAATTGAACTATGACATATTCAGGCCGTGTTTGACATCAATTCTCATTCTCATTTTTTTCTCTTTTTTCATATCACCCACATATTTTATCAATAAAATAATACTACACATAAACCCAAAAGTTCTTATTACTTTTTAACCACACATTCTTCCATCAATCACTATAACAACTACCAAAAAACAATATTATTAGTAAACATCTTTTTTCTATTCTATATTTATCTTTAGCTCATGTTTGGCACCATTCTCTTTCTCATTTTTTTTCTCTTTCTTCATTTCAACTACACATTCTCCAAATAAAATAATATTACACACAAATCTACAACTTTTCATTACTTTTCAACCACACATTCTTTAATCAATCACTATTCCAGAATTCATTTTTTCTCTAAAATGGGTGTCAAACACAAGCTAAATCTTAACTCTAACAAAATAACGTAGTCCAATCTCGCGATATCTTTTGCACATCTATTTGTTGAGTTCTTCATAGATTTGACTGTTAAAATCACAGGAAGAGGAAGATGGCTAGTTCATAACAATAAAACGATAGAAATGATACTATGGTAGAATAAAAGATTTGGGTAAAACTTATGTTAATTTGATTAAATTGGGATTGGCTGAAAATTAGAAATAGTAAAATAATATTTTGGGGTTGGACTAAATTAATTAGTTAGCAATTTATTTTAAAAAAATAAAATAATTTAACTTTTTTAAGATAAAAAAAAATTAAGGAGATTCGGTTCTTATTCGGTTAATCGGTTTTCGGTCTAAAATCGAGGACCGAGGACAGAGAACCGAACCAAACATGTCGGTTCTCGATTAAGATACTCGTTCAAGTATTTAACTTAAAAAGAACAGTTCAATTCAGTTTGAGTCCGATTCAATCCAATTCGGTTTGAGAGTTTTGTCCAGTACTATACACAAATAATGTACCACTAACATAAGTCTATTTCAATTTGCCTTGCTTGGACAAGCTCATAAGGTGTTTATAAGTAATTTATTTGCTTCTTACAAAGAGTAATGTTATTCATAGTCAACAATTATAATAATCATTCTTAAGACGCAACTTATCAAGTAAAAATGACTACTACAATCGTTGACTATAAATAACATCATTCGCTTTAAAAATATAGTTTATCTTATAATGATTTTAAATCCTATATTTTTCATTTATAAACAACATTTTGAAAATCATCAAAAAAGAAAAAAAGTAAAAGAGAATTTTTTTGAGGTGTACATCTTGCTCTGGTGAATTATAACTTTGCATATAATAAGATCTGTCTCAACACTTCGATTTTTTTTCAATTGAATCCGCCTTTAACAACATTCCCATCTATTATATTTTTGCAAACAAATTCTTAACTATTACTTCGAAATATTTCACATCCCAAGTAATTAAAATTTTGAAAAACCTGTGGTATCCATGGAATAATAGTAAATATTTTATTAAACTCGTTGTTATTAATATTTTATTATCACGCAAAAAATGTCAAATGACTTAAGAGTGTACGGTGTTGTTTTTGTTTAGTCAAATTTCATCTACATTTTACTTTAAATTTTATTTCACTTCAGCATTATTTTTACTTAATATTTTAAATTTAAGCAACAGTTAGCGTTTCTTAATTTATTAATATTATATTATTAAATTGAAAAATAAAATTACGTACTGGTATCAAAATTATTCTGAATTCCAAGCAAGAAAGAGATTGCAACATATTTCCCAGTATTTACAATATACAGAATAAAGAAGAAACTGGCAACTATAATACAGTCGATGTTATCATGCTTTTCCATTACATCACTTGCACTGGTAATATATGAATCGTTTAAAATGAACAAACTATTCAACGGACCAACCATGAAGCAACTGCGGATTCATATGCATAACTCATGATACATCAAGTAGAATCATTCCTCGTACCTCGACAGATTATTTTGATCGACAGGACGGTAGAGTGATGCCCCCACAAGCAGCAGCGATTATAATGTACAGTAGAACGACAATCAAGCAAGTCAACAGGGCTCTGTCATGAATGAAAGTTAGATCTCAACGTCCACAGTAGAAGGAGAATTTTAGACATTCAAACAATTGTAAGATGGACTATCCAAGCATTATTAAGGAAAAGTCTAAGCCCCTGTTTGACAATCAGTAAAATGAGTTATGGAATAGTGAATTTTTGGATAGTGTGTGGTTAAAAAGTGGGAAAAAGTTTTGAGTTTTCATGCAAAATGTTTTATCGTGAGAATGTGGTTAAAAATGAGTTTGAGCAAACAAAAAAAGAGTTTCGTTTTAATGATTGTCAAACAGGGCCTAAAGAAGCTAAAATACTCTGTACTATTGAGCTTTGTCCAATGCTGTATACTAAACATGCTTCTACCCGACTAGTTCACTCATTGTAAAGCCGACCAATGCTCTTAATTGATATCCTCACGAGGAATAACATGACAGGGAAGAATAGGCAAAATCTTCATTCTTTAACTGAAAGCATCTAAGATGCAAGCTGTAGGGTAAAGCAAAAGTATAGAAACAACTCTTTAATAGCATCAAAGAGAGCTTTCAAATTCCATGATAACTCCCGCATAGAAAACTTCCATAGCTTCATATGTAAAAGAGATTTAAGTTTACAGATTTAAATGGTAAACAGGTATATTTTTTTTTTTATTGGGAGTTTTAACAAACTTGTATTTTTAGCTCATGTTCAATAAAATTACCCCTCAAGGTCACATACTCACAGATAGGGTTGGATCAAAGAAGCCCAACCGAAATCGAACCGATTGGGATGTTTGGGTCTATTTGGTTCGGTCCTGAATAACCCAAGGCACAATCATGGCCATGAAATCTCAACAAATCCCTGCCCAACACCACAACTACCTATCCTCCACCACAAAATTACCCCTCCACTGCCATCACCATCCCATCACCACCAGCATAAATGTCAAAAACCCAATCTTACCAAAAAGAAAAAAAGAAAAAAATACCACAAAATTCATCTATTATATGAAATGTACCACATTTTCAATAAATGGTCTTCAACTTCCCTTTTCTGGTTTTCGATTTGATTTCTACTTCCCGACATTGCGTCAATGACTAAACATGGAGACAAAAACAGAATTTAAAATATGCTTTCATTCGATCTCATAGAGGATGGTGGCGCGAGGGGTTTATGGTCGTGGTGGACAGACTCACGGTGGTATCGCAAACTTCATATAGAGAGAGAGGGGAGAGAATAGAGATGGGTATAGGATGAGAGATGAGAGGGGTTATATTTTAAAAATAAAAATAAAAAATGACCAACCTGACCACCGACTGAATTTTTGGATTGGGTCCGCGCCCAACCCAAAAATCAAACTGAATGGGCTTCAAACCAACCCAAATTGGGTCGGGCGGTTTGATAGTTTCACAGTTATTTTGCAGTTACGATGGACACAGTGTCCAAATGCTGATATGTCTAAATGCTAACAAGTTTAGTGTTAATCTCATAACTACAATTAATTCTCAAAGTACTGAAGGACAGAAAGCAGCGAACAGATTCAATCAAAAAGGTCAAGTCCTATGACATTGTGCATATATAATAATATATTGAATATAAGCAGGGACGTGTTAGTTACTACATTCAGCATTCCCATCCATGAATGTCTGATCATTTCCATATATCACTATCGTTTTCCCTCAGTAGTTTATGCAGACAAGTAATAATTCTAATAAGTCTTGATGGGGAGACTAACACCAAACAAGTGGACTATCCTACTACATCTCCCAGCTAACTATTCACTGAATCCTTTGTACGTATCCAGCTATGGCGAAAAACAATTAAATATCCTCATCTTAATCATATCAATTGTCTCGAACTTTCTGTTCATTATATAAAGCTCTACTAAGTTGTCTGGAATCTTGTGAAGGAGATTAATTCACTGGAGTAAAAAAAGAATGAAAAGTAAACCCAGTGATCACAGCTTGGGCGATAAAGTTCACCAAAGTAAATTCTCCAAATACAAGATTAAAGAGAGTGTTTGAAGCTACACGCACTTTCACAGTGCTATATAGCTCTGGCATTTGCTATTTTGCTTTTACGAACTTTACAGTTTTTAAAGACCACTATTGAGCCATACAAGGTTCAACTTAAATAGAAGGTTATTAAAAATACTTACAAGAGCTTGGCATTTTTCATCCACAGAGCTCGACGAAGGCGCTTCGACTGTTTCTTGAAGTGAAATGCACTATCTTGCATAGTTGCTGTTTTGTCAACAAGAAGCTCAATCCGATCACCTCTTTCTAATATCTTGTCAATGTTATCCACCATAATTGTGCGTACCTGAAGACCGTGTTTCAGGTGTTAGGTTCATGATAGTAGGCTAAGAACAAGAAAGCTCATAAAATCAACAATATCATACGAAGGATAGAGCAGCTAAGGCTACTTGAATTCTAACATTACTCCAAAGCTAGGAGCCAATTAACAATTGTATTTTAACATTTTTTACAATAATTTTAGATATGTTGCTTTCTCCATAAAAGTTTGCAAAAAATGATATGTGAAAATGATAGAAACAACACACATTAGAAACTGTTATACTGAAACGTGATTCCTGCTTACAACATATATGCTTATCATTTATAGCAAAGGAGCTGAGGATTCTCGTTGAGCCCAAAAAAAAAAAAACAGAGACAGAAAAAGGGAGGGATCTCGATTCAATTCACCAACATAATAATAAAAGAGTATTTGACTTCATCTCCATTTAAATTTTGATGTTCATAACTCTGGCTTATATTTCGATTGCCAGTTGATTTCTAGCCCTAACCATTTTACAACCTGAGACAGTTGCTGCCACTGGTCCAGGGAAAAGAGCAGGAACTCTGGCTTAGTATAGTCAAGAATTTCTTAAATATAAGCAGCTGGATATTTCATCATGTAAATTTATGCTTCAAAAGTACAAAAGATCACGGGCATATCATACATTAAACATGTCAAAAGAGTACAAAGTGATTATTTGGTATATTTAATTGAGGACAAAGCTAGCATCGGATAAATAAAAAGTCTCAACCTGGAACACATGGCAAAACCTTCAAGAAATACTCCAGCTACAAATGCTTTATAATCACCGATGGCCACACAAAACTTAAAGCAAACTCTAAGAACTAAAAAGCCCACACAAATGCAGCAAAAACCAAGAAATATACAGTATTATTTATCACTATATATAATATACATTGATCTTCACTATGAATCATGCAATTAAGATCTTATATATAAACATTTTAATGACATAACCAGCTCCATACACATGGTAAACAGGGAGGGGGAAAAAGAAAGAAAGAAAGAGGAGTAAACGGAAAACAAAAATTCCAGCTATAATAAAGTGAATTTAATTTTTTAGACCTGTTTATTTTCTATCTTTTGTGAATCAGGTAAAAGTGACAAAGTAATCTTGCCTCGCTAACTTCTCCTCTGACACGGTTGAGAGTGTCTGCATTAGGATTACTGGAGAAAAACTCCATTTGCTGATGCAAGACCCTTGAGAATTCATCATTCATAGCGTAAGCAGGAGCATAAGGAGCCACTCTACCATAGTTTTTCATGAATCGCATCTGAATATCCTCCAAATATGAGAAAGGGATTCTCCCTGGATAAAATTGTCAAAATAACAGTTGTAACATATAGAAGAGAAAAGTGGAAATTGAGAAAGGGATTCTCCCTGGATAAAATTGCCAAAATACCAGTTGTAACATATAGAAGAGAAAAGTGGAAATACTATTATACACAAACATTAAAATTTTACTTCTAAGTTGAAGGAAAAAATCCAATAAAATGTATATCCTAACACAATGCAATGCTGAAAGCATATTGATAGAGTCTAAACATCTCAAAGCCTCCATTTACGAATAGAGCTCAGGATACAAAAGATTGGAGATAAGATCCTAGAAGCATATATAGGAAAAGTAAAAAGATTGAGTACTTCCTTGTATTAAGAAATCCCATAGCAAAAAGAGAACTGTGGCGTACCAATGGTAAGTTATGCAGTCATAACTTTCACCTATGATTCAGGAAAATAAGTTATTAATGGAACGAGGATATTCCATCAAAAGTCCAATTAATTCCCTCCAGTCCTTGACCCCGTACTTTTGTCTGAACAACCAAAATGTTGGCTTCCATTTCTTGATCTCTTGTACAATTGATCAGAGAATTCTGACAAAATCCAAAGACATATGCCTCCTAAGGGAATTACCACAATTGGGCAAATTGAGTTTATAAAAGTCTTCTACAAACCAATCTATGTTGAATAAATTTTGCGACATATCAACGTAAGAGTACTCTTAGTTCAGTGAAAAAATTGTGGTTAAAGCCACATTCTTTATAAGAAATGTGTATACAAGAATGAAGTGGAAAAGTAGCAAGAGAGTTATTTTGGCTAAAATACTAGGAAAGGAAAAATAAGAGAAACAGAAAACCAAATCACACTGACACTATGAACATTTGCTACCAGAGATGAAGTGAACCATTTTACCGTCAAATTGGTCTAAAACACCAGAATATGTGTCTAGTGAACTAATCCACAACTTTTGGTTTTCCCAAACGCTATCCCATTCCATAGCACACTTGTTTCTGAAGACAATCCCACAAGGACGCCTTCTGTTTTATCTTTATTGAAGTCAAGAGTTGTGTGGCAACCCTATAAATTGGATCTTCCTCCTCGTAAGTCATACTCAAAAAACTAATAAGAGTTCAAAAATTGACATATGAAAAAAAAAACCCAAGAAAATAGAGTTACCCCTTGGAAATTCTGTTTTCAACCTTCAAATTTAAAACATCTATGAAAGATGAAAAGCTAATACAGTAAGATTCTGCATAGCAGCACATTACTTGTACTCACCGGAAAACCTAAAAATGACCAACAACAACAACAAGACCAAGCCTTAATACACTAAACCGTAAACAAACATTCGACAAACGCACATGAACACATAGTTATACAGATACACAAAGCTCAAAATTTAATTTTTCTTTTTTAACTGGATAGTTCTTACTTCCGAATGTATCGTTGGCCATACAGAGGAAGGTGAGTCCATCCGATCTAAGGATATGGAAAATGTACCGATCCTGGGAGAAGCATAGTCTCGACTCCTCCTGATTCGTCTCCGACAGCTTCTCCAGTATCCGCCGCGCCACGGCAGGTGCGTTCCCCGTCACGGCGCTGAACTCCGCCAGCACCGTAGTCCCACGCGCCACCACCCCATACAGGATCGCCATCAAAATATTGTGCGTATAATTACAGTGGAATTTGAGGTCGCATAAATTACAAATTATAAGCTCGATTAAGTTTGATTATTATTGATAACTCGATCTTCTTCCCCGAGGGGAAGGGAGGGGAGGGAGTGGGTGGGCTAAAATTGAACTGAAAGAAGACAGAAGACTGGAAGAGTCTTGGGTGTCACGCGGCACAAGCCAGAAAATCCGTCCAATGGAGGTTAGATTTGTCTAATTTTATTTTAAAACGAATAATTTTGTTATTTACCACATTTTAATTATATTTTAAACTTATCAATCTTTGGTCATTTGTAACAATTATTTTCTTAATTTTTTTCGTCGAATTCTTATCTTTAACTTTCCATTAATTAATACATATCGTCTTTGATGATAATTTATATTAAAATATTTTATTTTTATATTTTGAAATGAGGAAAAATACTTTTTTGGTACTTCTTTATTTATTTATTTTTAAAATAAGTTGTTATATGTTATTTCAATGGATTTTTTGAATATAAACTGTTTTTTCAATGGACTTTTTCAACCACATATTCTTCATCAATATATTATTCCAAAATATATTCTTTCAAAATAATGTGGTTCAAACACACTCTAATTTTTTCTTCTTTTTCCCCGTAGTTGATTTGAGTTTTTTCTCCTTTGCCCAAGTGCTTGATGAATTTTGAGAACGAGATGAAAATCCACGTGGATTGCCACATATACAGTTGTTAGTTGTGGTAATCGCACAAACATAGTGGTTTCATTGGTGGTAAATTAAAGTGATCTAAGGCCCCGTTTGACGGCCCTTGTTTTCCTTGGAAAATGGAAAATAATTTCTTTTTCTACCCATTTTGACTTGTTTGATGGCTTCTTTTTCTAGGCAAAATCTTTTCTAACCTCTTACCTCACGCGCCCAAGTTCCTTGATTTTGGGGAAATTCTTTTCCCACCTTTTAGGTGGGAAATCCTTTTCCATCTGTGCTGTTTTTTTTTTNTTTTACTTTTTGACAATGGAAACAAATTTTATAACCAATGGTAGAAAAAATTATCACTTTAGTGAAAAATTTTCATAAAAAACGAAGCTAAACGGACACAAAATTTAAAAATTTTTCGGGTAGAAAATTATACCAATCAAACACACATAATTAACAATTCCCTGAAAAACAATTTCTAGGAAAATACTTTCCCTATAAAACATTTTCTTTCCACCCATTTTCCACCCTTCCTATCAAACGGACCCTAATTGTTGCTAAGTAGCTAGGGTGAAAGTTTTCTATTCTTGATACCTAAACATATTTAGAAACAAAAAAGTTAAAACTAAAATATTTTTTTCTCATTTTTTAGTTTAATCAAACATCAATTAATAATGTAACATATTTAGAAACAAAAATTTACATTAGCCGAACAACCGGTTACATATAAAGGCTTTTAGTAACGGTTTTCTAGGCACATAGAAAAAGTTAGTCGATGCTTCAAAGGAATGAGAGAAAAATACAAGGAAGTGATGAAATATATTTCATATGGTCGACTTTAAATTTTATGGGAATAAGAGCAAACGATTACAAGACCATTGAACAACATGGAAACAAAAGAGCAAAGAAACTTATAATATTGATAAAACCAAACACGTGATCAATTATGGTATGCCAATAATGGGAATAAATGGAGCATAATAACTAGTAGGTGCAATTCCCCATTCTCTTGGCACAGGCAGATCTACCGTCTTGGATGAACCAAATTCCATGTTCTTTGTTACACATTTCCCATCATAATTTCTTGATAAAGGGCATGATTTGTAGAAATTGAGAGGCTTAGCAGTGGCATAGAACTTGACCCCATTAGGTTTAACAATCATGGAAACTGAGTCTTTTCTTGAAGTATAGAGTTGATGAGGACCACCCAGTATTTTGGCCAGACAATTGAGAGAATTAGGCGAAGTTGAGACGTCCGATGGAAGCTCGGTGTCGAAGGTGCCATCTTGTTGTGTGGTTGCGATAGCCAACTTCTTCATTTTGTCACATTTCACTAAGACTTGAATGCCTAAGGAAAAATATGGAGAAGAAAGGGTAAAATGGATTATGCGTAAAACTAGAATAGTTTAGCATTAGATCCAATCGGAAAAAAGATTAATGTAGTCAACCTAAATTTAAAAAATATATATACGTTTTTTTTTATTCCTATATACCAATTTTCTTTTCTTTTCTTTTGGCGCATAGGAAAATAAAACAAAGTACAAAAATTCAACTAATCCACCCTAAAACCACCACGTTCTCATCTTGCATTTCCCCCATACAATTTTTAATTTTTCATAAAATAGATAAGATATATAATCAAAGAAAGAACTATATAAAAGCATATCGAAAACGGACTCTTTTTATGTCACAAGAGAGACGAGTAGACCAAAATTAACACGTTCTGATGTACATAGTTGCTAAGAATTATGAACGAGAGCATAAACTGAACAAACCCGAGAGATCCGAATGAGGTTTACAGTCGAGGCAAACAACCGATCCCTTCAGGACATGGCTTGTGGAGAGGTTAAGCCTAGCAAGAACCAAAGTGAAGAACAGTGCAACTACAACTTGACATTTGTCCATTGAAGCTGATACCGGAACTATTGTATACAGAGTGAAAAAAGTATCGCAAAAAGTACCAATAAATAGTGCAAAATAGTCTCAGACACAGCAGTAAATGAATGGCCGTAAGCCTGAATAGTTGGTGGTGCTAATAAAGACATCCAATCTTTTGAGTTTTTTCCTGAATTATTGACCAAAAATTGAATTAATCAGTCATTTAGAAATTTTAAAATAATTTTTTTATAATATATATTCTTTTACTGCACGAAATTTTCTGTAATTTCTCTAAGCACATTTCTTTTAGTACAGAACAAGGAGAAAATATGGAAACAAGTCTCGAGGGCTTACTAGCAAGAAAACTTTGAGGGCTGGTTTGTTATCCAGTCATAGTACAAGGTGCATAAAATCTTGTCAACGGCAGTGGGCCAGTGGCAGGGTGGCGATCGCTCCCGCAACATTTTTTTTTTTTATCAATTTGTACAAGATTTATATAGAAATTTAAATACATAAATAATAGATATTATTTAGCCGTTCTAGCATTTTTTGCCCCCTACATGAAAATCTTGGCTTCGTCGCTAATCGACGGCCTAAATAATTGAACATAATATCCTAGAAACTAATAAGTAAATAACAACATATTTGAAGGGCTCATAAGAGACTTTGTTCATAGTTACTAGAAATCCCATGTAATAGAGTCTAATGTAGTCTTATTAGAATTAGAGTGCACGATTAAGGCTCTTGAAACTACTTCATTCATTCTATAAAGATTTGTTTGCTTTCATTTTCATACAGATTAAGAAAATATAATTAATATAATTGAAAATATAAATGTTACTTACATTTTTCCTAATAGTCTCTCATATTAAATAATAGTTTAAATAAGAATAGTTCATAGTTATTGATAACAAATTACGTTAAGATCCTGTCTGCAGCAAATTCTTTTAGAATTGATATTCCAACCGTTGGGAGAGCCTGAAGCCGCAACTTTTGACTGTGTGTGAGAGGGGTGGGGGCCACCGTTTGGAAAAAACGACTATATTAATGCTGGAAATCACCAGCAGACACGTCCTAAACAGATGCATATTAAAAAATTAATAATTCAACAACACTCTCAGCAAGGGAAATAGCTTATAATTTGGAACGAATGAAGGAAAGCGAGTCTATTTTTATGGGACCAATAAAGTATTATTTTATCTTATATTCTAGTTGTCATAGAATGTCATTTTTGTCAAGTTTGCAGTATATCAATCAATCAAGCTTCCAACAAATTACGTGGCTTTACAATAACGTTATTTCAGAATTATTGCTGAAAAACAGTTACCCTATTAAATCCTTTCTCGATGGTAGTTGAACAGACATTCAATCCAGCTCTGTTCCTTTCAAAAAAGTTGTACTTGAATGCTTCCACACATAGAACGGAGATCCCACAACCGGTGGACTCATTTGTTACTGGTCTTTTAAAAAGTCAAAAGTTACTTATTAGATCAAAAAAATGTTTTTAAACGTATCTGAACGATTTTATGGAAATGATTTGTACGACTAGAAGAGTTTTTAGAGAAGTTTCCCAAAAATTTCTTCTACAAGAAGCGTGATCCCTGTTAGACGAGCTCTTGAAGTGTTCGATTGGAAGAAAAACAAAGTATTCGACCTGTTTCTCTCATATGTTGGTGCATTGTCCAGTAGTTGATCATTCATGAGTCGATATAGTAATTTTTAGAAATTCAAACTATCAACCTGTATTTTGATTGATCGTATATAATAACTACGAGATAATCAATTGTTATACTCAATCGCGTGATCATGATACGCACTTATTTATTTAAATTATGTCTTCAACATATTTTATGTTTATTCTTTATTTAGTGCCTTCTAACCACCAAGTCGATGTGAGTTCAACCTTTGACTTTTTATTTTTTTTTCAAGTCAAATATTTGAACCGATTTTCAAAATATTGAGAAAAAAAAAAAGATAATATGGGGGAATGTTAAATCTTTATATGGAAATTAAAATTGACATTTTAAATCTTTCTAATATTAGAATGTAGAAAATTACACGAAATTTGTTAGTTATGTACTAGAACTGAATTCAATGAAAACAATAATTCCATAGCTATTCATTTAATAGCATTACCAACTTCGGGAGGCAATTCAAGGGACAGGTAGGTATTCTTAGTAGTTGTTACCAAATTGCTTTTGGCAGATATAGTCGACAAACGTATCCGTAAATATTAAGATTTGAAGTTTCATTTTAAAAGTATTCACTTGAGACGAATATTGATTTTAGAATATGCAGATTCATTTGAATTTTAATCAGATCGAATTGTTGTTTGAGCTTCATGGCCTTCGAACCCATATTAGGATATATGATTTCATTTTAAAAGATTAATCTTACCCTTTTACATTTATTCGATGTGGGATTTACAGTGGAGTAAACTAGTACGATCCTCCCAATTCAAAGGATATGTAGATTTCAATGACATACTTCTCTATTGGCGAAGATGCAATTTTTAATGTAACATACCGATGGTGTGGATAGTATACTGTGAAAAATGGAGAGTTAAGAGGTGGTTTGACAAAGATTTTCAAAAAAGTTTTAGCAATTCTTTATAAAGATTGGTGAAATGTATAGTTGAAAAGTTCGATAAAAATTGTAGATCCAGTGAAATATTTGGATAAAATTAATGGTTGACTTAACCTCAACTTTTTAAGTAATGTCAAACAAGCTTTTCAAATTCAATTCCACAAGAAAAAAAAAACTTCATACAAACTCAATACAAATAAATATGGAATTTGGACGACAAACTGACATCTGATCTCAACGAGACAAATTTCAAATGGTAGAACAAGAAGAACAAATTTTTTTTAAAAAAAAACTGAAATATTCTGTCAAGATTGATTCAAATCAACCCTAATTGTTCAAGGGTGTGTTAATGGCTCTGCATGATCTTCTGATCTCTCCTTGTGCACCTGTGAGTACTTCAACTGCGCCCAACTTGACCAAGGCCTGTCCAAATCGAGTCGAAAAGTCGAACCCTTTAGCAATGGCCGCAACTGTGGGATTGGTTAATGGATCAAGGGCTAGTTCTTGATCAATTTGGAGAATACCTCTATGTAAAATGATTTGTCTGTAGTAAGAATTGTCTACAGTCATTGAGCTCAAAGGGTTTTGATCAAGATTAACTGGGCTATCAACAGTTGAATTCTGAGGGCATCTCTTTTTTAGTGTGTTTAGTAGTGTGGTATCCATGGTTGGATCAGGTTTCCCTGTGTTCTGGAAGTTGTAGAGACGATCTTGAAAGAGCGAACAATGAGCGACTCCAACCGTGTGGCCACCTGCAACAAAGGATTCGTCGAAAATTAATGCTATCCTTTAAGAACTCCATCTATATTTTTTGGCAACAATCGTGCTACTTGTACATCATATTTTGCATCATTGTTTACATTGTGTCGCATGGCAACACACCATTGGACAATTTTTTTAAAAAAGAAACAATTTTCCCACCCACAATTTTTTGAAAACAAAGGAGATGTTAAATTGAATGTAAGGGATCGAATGAATGTACATTTACCATTATTGTTTCTGGCGATTGGCCTCCAACCCTAATAAATGGAGAGAGAACTCCATTTATATCACTAACAATAAGGGAGAGCTGAATTGAAGTACTTACCAAGAAGGTAAACCATGTCATTAGAATTAAGTCCTTTCTTGTTGAAAGCATTAATGGAATCTGATACTGAAATTGAAGGAGCTGGCAAATTCACATTCTTAGCAAGGGACACTGTTCCATCTCTTCTTCCTGTTTGTACAATATATCGCCCCCCTCCACTCTATAGATATGCACAGTCAAAGTTATTAAGTAACTTATTTTGAAAGTAATCTCTACCTAGTACCTTCCTATCAAAATAAGTAATTTTTTTTTTTTACCAGGGCAACAGCATCTCTAGTGGCCATAACAATGATATCAGCACAAGAAACCACTCCTGGACAGATTGACTCCACAGCAGCTTTGGCTGCATCAATTATTTCATAGCCTCGAACACTCAGATTAGGGATTGCNCTGTATTTCATCAAATGAAAAAATGTATAAAGTTGCATGAGTTTATCACAACATTAAAACGATAATTTCGAATAGTATTTTAAAACGACATTGATGTACTTAGTTCATTGAACCTTGCTATATTTACAAAAAAACAATACTAGAGTTACATTAATTTTAACTGCCATCTCACATACATTTGGTGGGGTCCACAATTAAAATAATCGAGGGCCCCACTCATGGAAGAGGGCTGTCAAAATTGCTTTGACTACATATTAAGCATTTTTGTAATTATGTTATCATATGAACACTTGTATTATTCTATATGCTTTGCGTTGTATTTATGGTCGATAAAAATGTAGCGTTGGATTCCAGTCAAATGTGTTGAAAGAGTAGATGAAAGTGTCACAAGTGTTGGCGTTAGGTCCCAAAATAGTATAAATTTAAGAATTCAAGTGTAGGTGCCACCTATTCATAAAAATTCTAAGTTTGTATGCCTTTGAATAAAAAATAAATAAATATGGGTCGTATTGAATATAAAATTTAAATGAAAAGTTTGAATTCGTTCTTTTTGTTTAAACTTTTAGATTACGTAATTCAATATATTATTTCAAAAGGATCAAATCTTACCATCACACATTTCTAAAAATGGTGTGGGTTATGGCTTTTGATTAAAAAAGACAGACAAATTTTTATTGTGAGAGAACATGTTGAACCTTAATAATTGAAATGTTTCGGTATGCGAAAAAATATATATAACCAACTTCGTATTCATCAGAAACATCTTATTCACTATTTTCGTTTTTATAGTAGACAACATGAAATAGAATTGACCGAAAAGGAGTTGAAAAATAAAGCAAATGAAGCTTCGGTCATCTAATAAACATATAAAACCTAAATTTTCTAAAATAAAATATTCTTACATTGACAAAGCAGTCATGAAACTGCATGCGGACAAGAGCAGCTACAATTGTAGGATCTCTAGAGAACCATGCTCTAATAACAACACCTACAATAGTCTCCACATCGACTGTGCGGCATTTTCCTCTATAGAACCCTACCTGTAAAGCACCACCAGACGACCCGGCAAAGGCAGCGAAAATGCAAGCTAAAGCTAACGCAGCTGCAGATGCCCTCGACATTCTTATTTGTGAAAGTTAGTGATTAATATTTAGTGTTGTTGTAATTCGAAACCTCATTGTTTTGCTATTTATACAAATGGAAATATGCTCTTTGTTGTTTAGATTAATTGATGCATGGTTTGCACGACATAGGATGTTCATATTATAAGAACGTGCAATCATGTAACGGGAGTATTAAATATTAATTTTGGTTAGGTGAATGTTTGGCTAAAAGCTTAGGAAATAAGGTTATTTTTAAGTAAATAAGCAAGCATTAAAAATTATTATTTTTTGGTCAAAATAAGAAAAATGAAAATTTACAGATAGGTCCCAACCTAATGAAAATGTTGCAGGTAGGCCCTAACATAATATTTGGAATTGTCATTTTTGTAACATTTGGAAGCCAAATTGATGATTTGATCCTTTTCTTTTAAGGGTAGTTACATTCACGTCATAGTTTTTTGTTTGCTACATCACATTTTAATAGAAAAGTCCCCAACTCTTGCTCATTGTTGTAATTGTATTTCTAACTTTTTTTTTTAATATCCTTAACTTTCAATTGATTATCACGTCTTGTTCTTCATGAGGATTTTTCTCGAAATGTCTTTTAACGTGCTTTGAAATGAGACGCATATATTTTATCAAATTTTTTTGTACAATATTTGTTTTTTTCTGCTAATTTAAAAATATGAGGGGACAAATATGTTTTTCTATGCCCTCCTAACAATATTTTGGACGAAACCAATCATAAGGAACAAAATAAAATGTTGAGGAGACATAAGTAAAATAATAAATAAAGATTGAGAATATTCATTTTAATTAAAATGTGGTGTACCAAACAAAGATTGTGGTGCTGATATAATTATCCATTTCTTTAATTAAAAACTCAATTTTGGCAACTTTTAATTAAATCAAAAGAAAATAACGGGAATAAAGAAATAGCAAAATCCAACTAGCCTCCTGAATGCATCACAAACCTTGGTGGATTTTCTTCTCTTTTCTTAGTATTTTTCTGTATTTTTTCCTCTTCGTTCAATTAAATATAACCGTAAATTCATGTTTTAAATTTAAAAAAAAAAAAAATGGGATTCTAATCAATGATAAGTTATCTAGTGGGGTCAATGCTAAAAAAATAGAAAATGCTGGAGATTACAATCACCAAAATTATATATTAGGACCTAATTGCTACAATTCCAATAGGTTGAGGACCTAAAGTGTTTTCAAAAGTAACTTCTTTTATTAAGAAACCGTGATTTTTCGAGGAAACAAAAATTTACTTAAAGTATTTTAAGTTAATTTTAAATTTAGCCAAACATGGTCGTAGAATTAAATTTAATTTGCAACGGTGCATGAACCTATGAAAGTCAAACTAAGTAAATATAATTATAAAGAGTATGAAATGATAAGGAAATTAAAATTTGGATTGATGACCAATTAGGACTCATTTGACTTAATCATTAAAATTTTTGGTTGGTTGTCAGACAGAGATAGTTGAAAGGGGAATCTAAGGGGGCGTTCTCTTTGTCATTTTCAAGTCGTTTTCTGTTTTCGATTTTTCAAAACAGTGAAAACGCGTTCTCTTTTCCATTTTGGAAAACACATTTTTGAAAACAAAAAAAAATTTTGTACAGAAAACGGAAAACGACATTTTGGTTGTTTTCAGTGTTTTCAAGCCAAAAACACAAAAATTTGAAAACGCGGAAAACGCCGACTGAAAACTGAAATTGGAAAAATCAGCACAAACAACCTCGCTCCCTCCCCTCTATTACCTCCAATCCTTCCACCACCAATTGGAAGTATCAGCAGAAGCAACCTAGCCTCACCGCCGGATTCCACCATCAACAAGCTCGTCTCATTCCCCTCTCTCACCTTCAACCATTCATCAGCCACTGCAACAGGGTCCGCGCAATAGGATTCGAGTTTTGTAAATTCTAGCGTCGTCCGGCTGTCCCACGATAGCGGACCACATGGGTTAGCATCCTCTTCACCTGGTGTACCTTGCCCAAACATGGGTCAAGGCCAATTTTACAGCTAAGGTAATCTTTAGTTTTAACGATTTTGTAAGTTGTGGAGCTGCAGAATTGCTTTCCCTTTTTAGTTTCCTAGCAATTGGATCACCAATACAGAAGCCTGAATGGTCACATATATTAGATTTATTCATAAGCAAAAATTTGTTTGAAGATATATTTTTCTCTGTACCATCCATTTGTGTGATTCTTAAACATGCCAATGAGCTTCAATTGAAACTTGCCTGCCTGGTTTAAGATTCAGAGAAACTCGGTTTTATAATAAGCTAAAATAAATTTGGTTATGCTGGGAGTACCTTCCACATTTTATTTTGATGTTGAGT